GGGGGGGGGAACGCCGGGTTGCTAACTAGTGAGGTGAGGCAAACAATAACAATGACTTTAAGATCCAGGATTTTAGGGTAGGAGTAGGGCTTTTAAACGGTTAGGACAGGATGAAGTGGTAAAACAGGAATAAAATGTTTTTGGGGAAAATGTATAGACACATCAGGAAAGATGTTGAAATGCTGGGTCTCGTCAAGCGGGCAATACGGGAATTTGCTTCCCAAGATGCACGATATTAATGTTGCTTCCACCGTGCCTCCTAGTTTCTCAGAGGAAGGTGGGTGCTTTAGATAATCATCTGAAAGTTTCTTTAAAACCACGCGCTTTCTGGGGAAGCTTGGCTTGGCAGAATTGTGGCTACATTTTCTGCTTCTTTACCTTTGATTATGCTTTTCATTTGACTAATCTTGATCAGGTATAAAAACTGTTAAATACACATTACTTGCGAGTGGGTTTAAAATTAGCCTTTTCCTTCGGCCCCTAAAAGAGATTATAAGCACACATTTAAAAGCTTTTTTCCTCCCCTCCCTCCCTCCCTCCCCCCGCCTCATCTTCACCACTTCTACCTGCAACAGCTGAGTTGGAGGCAGACAAACAAGTTTGATGTCAAAACCAGCTCCCCGACGGCAGAAGTGGGGCGCGGGGGGTACCGCCGGTCGTGTTCTGCCCCAGCGCTGCTCCAGCTGCCGTCCCCGCGTGGTACGCACCCCTGGGGGGGTCTGACCCAGCGCAACATCTGGAAGGATGGGCTCAAAAAAAAGCTCTTCCATACATAGCTTTATAAGGCTCTTTCGACCTATTTGTTAATTCAGGCCATAGAAGTCCGACTAGTAATTTTTATGCTGGCACCTTTTATAGCGTCTTGGTAATTGTGTTCCGAGGTGCTGATGTTGAGCAGTGTTTCTTCCAACTCTAGCGGCAGCTAAGCAAGCAATCTTCCCTTTTTCTCGCTACAGCCTACTTGGTAAAATGCAGTATGTGTGGAGGATAGATAGGAATTGTTGCACTGTTCATTGATTCCTACTAATGAGCCGGTCTAAACCAACACTGGCGCTAAGTAGTCCGTCTGTAAGCATACAGATGATGCTTTGGCTGGTTCTTTACGTGTTTTCTATGAGGCGCATCGTGGCGAGTAGCAAGAATTGACAGTAACGATTTGGAGAGTGTAGGATATTTTGTCTCTTGGTTTTGTGCTAGTCTTTGCGTAGCTTCTTAAACATAATGACAGGAATGATAAAAAAAAAATATTTCAGAGGACCTGTGTTTCCCGCTTGCTGCGGGGCTAACCCGAGGGCCGTTTCTCCAGGGCGATTGACTCAACTTGCCATGGGGACGAGGAAAGACCTCTTCCCACTTTCCTTCTCCCTGTGGTGCGGTCCCTTCTATCGGCGTTCGCGCCTACTGCTATAAACCGGGCTGTGCGGGAGCGAGGGTTCAAGAAGGAGGAGAATGGATAGGGGGGTTATGAAAGGGGTGGAGGGAAGCTGGAGTGGGAGAGGTGGGTGGAGGAAGCCTTCCTGCTCGGGCCACTGTTTCCTGCCCTATGGAAAGCGGATCTTAGTGTCCTACGGAGTTTCCTCAGCCCCCTGGCTCCACCTCACCCTGATAAGGAGATGTGAGTGAGAGGGGAATCGGGAGCCGTTTCTCGCTCCTTTCCACGAGACGCCAAGTCCCCAAGCGGCTGTCATGTGATAGCAAGAGAGCAGGAACTGCGGGGGTCTCGCGACTCGGGCATCATTACAAAACCGCGCCGGAGCGCACAAGCCTCGCCAAGAGCCACGGCGGTCTCCGCTCCTCTCGCCCCCTCCCCCCGGCGACTCCCGGCGCTCGCCTCTGCCGCAAACTTTTAAGGGGACACCAGACTGAGCGGTGAGAGGGATGTTTTTGTTTCCTTCTTTCCCGTCTCTGCGGACGCCCGAGGTAATTTCATGCTCTCGAGCCCTTAATGCCTGAGGAGCATCAACTCCAGCCGAGTGTGCCAGGCGGCAGGGGGGAAGTCCGGGAGATTCAGCAGCCTCCAGGAGAAAAGCGGCACGCCAGCGAGGCCGGGACCTCCTTCTGGCACGTAGCCCCCGAGTCCCCGCGGCCTGGGCGGCAGCTGTTTCTCCCTCAAGCTGAGGGGCAGCTAGGCAAGCGCATCCCGCGGGGAGAGGCTGCTGAAGGAAGCCGTGCACGGAACTCGCTGGCCGGCCGCCGGGAGGTCGCTGTCGCTTGTGGCCCAGGCAGGTGGCGCCCAGGATGTAGAGGAGACGGCGGGGCAGGGCAGTGAATTCCCCGGATCCCAAGCCCGCCGTGCGCGGTATTGAGCGGTGCCTAGCCCGGAGCGGCGGGATCGCGCGGCCGCGGAGTGCTGTGGCGGGGAGGCGATGCCCAGGCCGGGGAAGAGTTCGTACAGCGACCAGAAACCGCCCTACTCTTACATCTCCCTAACGGCCATGGCTATCCAGCACTCGGCCGAGAAGATGCTGCCCCTGAGCGACATCTACAAGTTCATTATGGAGCGGTTCCCTTACTACCGGGAGCACACCCAGCGTTGGCAGAACTCCCTCCGCCACAACCTCTCCTTCAATGACTGCTTCATCAAGATCCCGCGGCGACCCGACCAGCCGGGCAAAGGCAGCTTCTGGGCGTTGCACCCGGACTGCGGGGACATGTTTGAGAACGGCAGCTTCCTCCGCCGCCGCAAGCGCTTCAAGGTGCTGCGCCCCGAGCATCACCTGCCCGGCGGCGGCGGCGGCGGCGGCGGCGGCGGGGCTGGCGGCGGCGGTCCCGGCAAGCCCCCGGCGCCCACCCCGCACATGGTGCACTACTTCCATCCGCATCCGCCACCACCGCCTCCCCCGGGCAAGGTGCCAGGGTTGGCGGGCTCCGACGCTGCCGTAGCCGCGGCCGCCGCCGCCGCCGCGGTGGGAAGGCTGCCGCAGTTCTCGCCCTATGGTAGCAGCCAGCCCTCGGGCTTCAAGCATCCCTTCGCCATCGAAAACATCATCGGCAGAGATTACAAGGGTGTGCTGCAGGCCGGCGGGCTTCCGCTGGCCTCGGTGATGCACCACCTGGGCTACCCGGTGCCCAGCCAGCTCAGCAGCGTGGTGAGCTCCGTGTGGCCGCACGTGGGGGTCATGGATTCCGTGGCCGGTGTGCCCGTGTCCCCCGACTACGGACCCTTCGGCATGCCCGTGAAGGCCCTCTGCCACCCGCCGGCACAGACCATGCCTGCCGTCCCCGTGCCCATCAAGCCGGCGCCGGCGTTGCCCGCTGCCTCGGCCATCCCTGCTCTCACGGTCGCCGCCTCGCAGATCTGCCCCGCCGCTTCCCCGACTGCTGCATCGCTGCTGGAACAGACCGCGAGCAACAACCCCGAGGGCAAGAGCTCCCTTCACTCCGTCCTGGTGCACTCCTAAAAAGCAGGGGCTCGGAGGGGAGAGAGGCCCCCAGGCTCCCGGGGGAGTGGACAGGGGGATCCAGGGCATGCTTGCGGAAACCAGATCGATGTCGTGACTATACCCCTGCTGGTGTCTGTGTTTATACCGTGTACTATCAGATTATTTGAGAGCCAGGTCGCAGGTAAGAGCTTTTATCGTCGTTAAATGTCATTAGTGGCGGAGAGGCGATGTGAAAAATCACAGCCGGGGTCGAAGGGGCTGGCTCGGAGAAAAGGGCCGAGAGCGAAGTTCTCCCCGCCGTCCCGCCAGCCTGAGGCACGGGGCGGCCATGCAGCCTGCGCTCCCCTCTGAGCCCCTGTCCCGGCAGTCACCCCGGAGGCCCCACGAAACCCGAGCTCCGAGAGGTGCTGCAGTCGGCCGGCGAATAGGGAAAGCAGAAGGATAAAACCCCTGCTGAAATCTGCTTCTCCCTCTTCCACGAGAGACAGAAAACCGCTGCTCCATCGTCCTGTAGATCTTGCTGTGAAAGGGGTAGGCAAAGTGGTTACTTAGACCCTGGCGAGCTCCGGGGCCCCACGACATGTAATGCTTGCTGCTTTAAAGAGTAAACGTTAAATATTTCGATTAAGTAGTGGGAATTCAAATGACAACGGAACCGACGGTGAAGGGTTCCTTTAACTAACGATCGCTTGCGCTTCCCCTTCACACTTTTATAATCCATCCTATAGTACCTTAGAAGGGACTGAAGTGTGACCTGGCCTCTCAAACTCTGTGTGAGTGTCCGAATTCCCTAGTTTCTCATTAAAATAAAAACAACCCGGCGATTCGTAGATTGTGCTTTTCACATCACCCTTCACCGTTCACAGACACCCTATTTTGTACGTGTTGCTTGGCGTTTCTTCCACGTGAACGTGAACGCAAAAACCTGCGGGGGAAGGGGGGAGGGTGGAGAGTGAAATAGGTGTGGGAAAGTGGGGGAAGACAACAGGAAAATTGTTTAAAAGTTATTCGGGAAAAGCACTTTACTGAAAACAACCTTCCAATAGAGGAGAAGTCTGTGCAGGGGGATCAGAAGTCAGAGATTGACGTGCTGGGCTGATGATTCCCGGCTGATTTGTGAGTGATTGCTGCCGTACCCTGTCTGCCCCGCTGTACACCAATGCTCATTAAAGCAAATCCATCCATTTGCTTCTGCTGGTGCTGCTATTTATAATACTCGACTTTCACATTGGTTAAGAAATGTGTGCTTGTAGCCTGAGTTTCGCTCCCTCTCTCCAAATTCATAAAAGTATCCAAAAGTTTTCTCGGCGGCAAGACAAAGGAAAGAAACGGAAAGAAATCTCTTACAGGTAAATTGCCTGCTATAGAGGCACGGCTGTCTCTGCCTGCAGCTCACGGGCGAAGAGCCGGCGTTCAGGTGTGAGAAGAGGGAACCGGCTCGGAACCCGGCATCCCACTGAAGACAGTTTTAGTTTTGCCAGTGTCAACTTGTGCTGGATCGCACCTTCTTCCTTGGTTTTATCCCCTCATGCCGGCACACCAACAGTGGCCCGAGACGCCAGGTCGCAGTCCCCGCCCCTGGGGATGGATATCCTGTGACAGGCTGACCCTTCTTGGTGCCAGAGAAATTTGCTAGGAAAAGCAAACCTGTTTGGCCCTGAGCGCCGTCTGTCCAAAATTTCCCCCCCCCCCCCACACTCATGGGGTCTGTTCCACCACATGAAATTACCCTGGAACTGTTGAATTTCCAATTGTTCTTCTGTTCTAGGCGTGTTTGCACCTTAATTTAAAAAAATTAAAGAATTCCTAGCGCCTATAAAATACTACTATGATGTTATGTTAATGAAACACATATCGGTATCATGATTTGTGAATCGGTCTGGAAGGGGAATCACCTCTAAAGCATTGCAACCAGATAAACTGAGCGAAAAGAAAAGAAAAGAAAAGAAAAGAAAAGAAAAGAAAAGAAAAGAAAAGAAAAGAAAAGAAAAGAAAAAAGAGGTGCTTCACATTTTCTTTACTCTGCTGTTTTCCATCTTAGGCAGAGATCCAATTCGATATTGCCACTGCTAAAACCAAGTTGCCTATAAAAAAAGCAGTCTGCCAAACAAACCATGAATAGCACTAGCTGTATATTAGTTCTATATGTATGTAAATATATTCCACTACTCTTGATGTAACTACTGTGTAGGACTCCAAAGCACATCTTAAAGAACCTTAAGAGTTTTCCCCTTACATCGATCAAAGGGGTTAGAGGGATGGAGAACTTGGAACAGGAGAAGAAGTAATCCTCCTGGGAATTATTCAGACTATTCTGGTCAGTTTTAAGATTCTGAATGACCTTCTGAAATTTAAACTGTGGGAAAACTTTTATTTGGATGCCGCGGCGAGCTGTAAGGAGGAGGCTCCCGCCGCCTTTCGCGCCCGGGCAGGCGGGGCAGGGGTATCGAAAACAGAGGCAGGGCGCCCGGCGCAGGAGGCTACCACCACGGGGGGGAAATCTCTGATCGGAGGGGAGACCGGCCTGAGGGACAGGCCCTCGCCCATCGCCCGGAGGGACACGCCGGGACGGCGGGGTACAAGGGGATTTGTGGGGTACCCAGCGAATTGCGAGGTGCAGAGCAATCTGCACACACGGGCGCTGTGTGCAGCAGGTTTTGCCCACCACATGGGCTTTGGGGAGCAGGGAGCTTCAGCCGAGGGTCACTCGCCCAGATGGCTTAGTGTGACTGCCAGTGCAGTGGCCTACACTTTGTATGAACTAAAGATGGGGATATTTTCTGTAGCTTGTACAGTGAAAATTTTAGGGGGATAGAACCTGCTAATTCCAGATCATCAGTGGGGGAGGGAAAATTAACTATTCAAGTAATATTTTCTAACTCATTTATACATCTGGTTTTCCTTATTCTTAAGTACTTCATCTCTAGACAGCCTTTGCGAAGTTACACAAATTTGTACCAATAACCAATAATCTCCATACATAAATAAACTCAATTCCAATGTTGCTTAAAAGTAGATGACAGTACAAAAAGTAGAGAAATGAAGCAGTATCCTTTCTTCCAAGCTGAAAAGCAGGTAAATTGGTGAAGGGTAAGATTTTTCACTTGACCAGAAAAAAATAGATAAACAGTCTTGTTTGGCTAGATTTTGTCTGTTTGTTACACCAGTACACCTCATGCAGAAACAGCTTGTCTTCAGATTAAAGTGCACGTGTTCTGCACAGAAAGGCAGTCAAATATTTATTGAGTGGGTGCAGGTGGGGTGTTTGTAAGCAGAAGAAACAGATGCAAGGAGAACAAGCAAGCTTAATCTTCATACCGTCAGAATGCCAAAGGTAGAGAAGTAAAATTGATTACCAGAAGAATAGAGGCCTAAGAAAAGGCATTCATTGCACCCCAGTATGCTTCTGGTTTACTGTGGCTGTCTAATATAGTGATTGTTATTTCTACCCATGGGAAATGATCCCCAACCAAGGTGTTGCTTGGTGTATTTAAAGTCCATAGGGCATGCAAATCAAGAAAGAAAAGCAAATACAGAAAATAATTAAAAAAAAGTGCAAATACTCTTAGAATTAATGTGGCTTATGGTCTAAACATGATAGCAGTGTTTCAGTGGATATATTCTGATCTCAGTTATACCTACTACACTTTGACAATCAGAGTTATAACTGAAATTCTGGACTCCATTTATCCAATTCTGAAGTCTCTCTGGACACAAATTGATACAGAAAACTTGCCTGGAACTTTGCTGCTGCTGCTTGTGGTAACAGATTTTTCTCCTTATTGCAAGACTTTATTTTAAATCATTATCCTTCAAGTCTGTTTTAAGATAGAGCCTTCCCTTTAAGTGCTGGAAATATGTAATAGTTTTGGTTTTGAAAAGTAAAATTTCACCTCAGCTTCAGGAATTTTGCTGAATATATGATTAGATTAACCATCTTTAGTTAGACAAACCAGGTCGTCTAATGATAAGGACAAAAAATTACTGCCTACGGGCCTCTATTCTGGACACTATGTATTTATATAACTCTTTGTTTAAATAATCAGTGATCCTACCTCTTTGCTTATACAATGTGGTCACTGGCACAGCTGAGAAGAAAAGACTAATAGTTAGAGCAATCTTCTCAGAACCCTGGAAAGAAACAAGCTCAAGACTATTTCAACTCAAAAGGATTCAGATTCACATCTTTGTATCAAAAAAAAGGTGAGCTGCAAAACAACACATAGAGGAAGTAATGTTATAGAGCAATAATAAATGTAAGGCTCTTGAAGTGTCAGATGAGACAGGGCTGAGTGCATCTCTACAAAGGCAGAGTCCAAGTGCCACTGGAGAAAACAGATTATGGATGGAAAGAGGGAAGTAAGGATAGGAATAAATGGCAAATTTTCAAATCAGAGTGCCAAAGGGAAAGGTGTCAGGTGTCCCAGGAATTCATAATTGTGGTATGCAAAAGGTGAGTTACAGTCAGGAAAGCGACAAATATTTGCTAATATTAAGTCATTTAGACTAACAAAAAAGAATGGTCAAGAAATTGGGAGCTGCTGAAAGACATCCACACTGGGTTAAGGACAATAAAATGGAAAGTGAAATTCATTATTGATATATGCAAACTGCTATGCATGGGGAAAATAATTCTGGTTTTATATACATAACAGTAGGTCCTGAAGTTAGGATTTTTATGAAGCTATGGTAGACAGCACTAAGAAAATGTTGGTTTATTAGTCATTAGTTGTGAAAACAGAAAAAATATTGGCAAAAGAATAGAGACCATGACAGAAAATACCATGTCCCTCTCTAAATCTAAAGGAAATTGAAATACACCAGGGACACCTGTGAGTTCCTCACACCTGAAATATATCTGAGGCACTTTACAACTGTCAGGATTTAGAAAGAATCAGAGGCAATGATCAAAGGTACATCTTCTGCACATGCAGCAATCCAATAGTCCAAGACTTTTCACCATGGAAAGCAAGGATATACAGAGATATATGACACAAGTTTACAAAATCGTGAGAGAC